CATTAATGTTGGAGAAAATTTAGCATCCAGTATTAAAAAAATGGTTTCGAACAAAAAGTTCACAAAAACCCAACTTCCCAATTCATTCTTTTTAGAAAGCGTTAGTTCGATTGAAGTACAAGAAGCTGTCCTATCACTTAAAACCAAAAAAAGTCCTGGTGTAGATGGTATCAAAGCCGACCATTTAAAAATAATAGCCTACGACTTAGCCGAACCACTTTCTTACGTCATTAATTGGTGTTTCCAATCTGGAATTTGTCCTGATGCATTTAAAACAACTGTTATTACTCCTGTTTATAAAAGCGGTGACAGAATGGAAACATCAAATTATAGACCCATATCAGTACTATCGAATATAGCCAAAATTTTCGAAAAATTACTACAAAAAGGGATATTACAATTTTTGGACAAAAACAAAATTATATGTTCTGACCAATATGGATTTAGAAAAGGAAAATCTACTACAGATGCAATTTTGGCTGCAATGGATGAAATTAACTCTAATGTCAACAAAAAGATACCTACTATTGGTATCTTTGTTGATCTAAAAAATGCCTTTGATACGGTTAACCATGTCGAGCTTCTGAAAGTTATGGAAAGATTGGGATTTAGGAAGCGTCACAAATCCTTTTGAAAAATTACCTTTCATGTCGGGCACAGACTGTCAAAATCACTAACACTTACAGTAAAAAAATGTACATCAAGTGTGGTGTGCCTCAAGGAACAGTACTAGGCCTACTATTATTTAGTCTCTACTTAAATGACTTATTCAAAATTAACAGTTCTGGAAAGATTATATGTTTTGCAGATGACACCCTCGTATTATATAAAGCTGATGACTGGAGCACACTGAAGCAAATAGCTGAAAAGGATTTTATAAGGATCATTGACTGGTTTGTTATTAAAATTTTAACAGTTAACTTCAAAAAAACAAAATTTATTGCATTTACATCCTATTCAAAATTTTTACCTACCTTCGAACAAATTTCCGTTAATTATCATGGCCAAAAGACCAAAATCGATAGAGTTAATACTTTGAAATATCTTGGAATATTTATAGACTCACATCTAAGGTGGGATAACCATATTAAATATGTTATCAAAAAAATTAGAAATGTTGCCTATAAACTCAAAATGCTTGCTAACATTCTTACAGAAAGTTATCTGCGAATCCTATACCATGCCTTAGTTGAAACCCATATAATATACGGCATCACAGCCCGGGGTGCCGCCTGCAAGATATATATTTCTGACCTGAAGCACAAAAAACTGTTTTGAAAGCCATTTTCCATAAGCCAAGATTATATCCAACGAACAACTTATATCAGAAACAGGGATACTTGATACAAGACAACTTTATTTCTTACATGCCACCACCTTATTATACCATAAGTATTGTAATAAAAAGAAAAAATCCTATAAACACAAGCATAACACACGATTTCGAATAGGCTCATCTAATATCCAAAGACCACACAAAACATTATTCAAAAAATCGTTTAAATTCTTAGCAGCTAAATTATATAATGTAGTACCAAACGAAATAAAGATACTTAATTTTGGAAAAAAATTTGAAGAAAATTGAAAGACTGGGTTCGTAATGTGCAGCGAATGACTATACATAATTATATAGAAAACTAAAACTACAAAATTCCAATTACATTAATACCTTTTAGATTTAACAATAATTGTTATACACATATATGATTGATTGTTAGTTATTAAGTTATAAACCACACACAGGCGATGCCTTCTGTGGTTTTTTCATATTTATTTGCCCATTTTTTGTATTTTGGCGAATAAATATTATTATTATTATTATTATTATTTATACCAACATCCCGTTGTTAATACTCAGCATGACTGTTTTAATCTGGGTAACCTCATAGATGAGGATATTCTAAAGACACTGTGTAAATTACCAAACAAGTTAACAACAGGAGAAGATATGGTACCGAGCTTTGTAGACCGTGATGCGCCGCACATATTTGTCACGCCTTTAAAGAAAATTTTTAATTATTCCCTCAGTACAGCAACTTTTGCTACAAAATGGAAACTGGCTAGAGTGTGCCCTATTTTTAAAGCAAAATCGAAAATTACCGAGCTATATATATATATATATATATATATCTATATTGGATAATTTTGGTAAAGCATTTGAGATATCTGTATATAACTTATATCTATCCTTTGACCTCGCATCTGATATCTGAGACGCAACATGGATTTATGCGCAATCGCTCTACTGTTTCTAACTTAACTGAAATCATCCAGGAAATTGCAGAGGTTTTAGATAATAGGATGTGGTCTATACGGATTTATCAAAGGCCTTCGATAAGATTAGTCACCAAAGAATCGTAGGTAAACTTCAGCTAACTATGTATAATCAACAAATCATTTAAATTCGCGGTACATTTCCTACCATGTGACAAATTTTTTAGTTTGATTTTATTCAAAAATGGCACCATCTATCTATATTCAATAAGAATACCTTTTTTATGTAGAAAACCCTAAATTTTCAAATTCTAAAACTGAATTTCAAAAATAGAATCACTCAAAAATTTTGGGGCTAAAATAACCTGACTCCGTCCCTGTTACACACGCTTCCAAACAAAACTGTATAAAATTGTTCATATTTTCAAATCAGCATAAAAAACTAGGCTAGAATACCAAATTATATGTCTTTATCTCAACACGTTTCGGAAATATTAAGGAAAAACCATCTTCAGTTGAGCCCCTTTAAAAGACCGTAGCGCCCTTAGGGGACGTTTGTCGACCTATGTTTTTATAAAGTTTTCTTCCTATTTTATGCTCTAAAAATCGCTAGTAGAATATTGCACACTTTTTTCGGGACACCCTGTATATGAAAATTGTTATATACATAAATGTAAGAGCGGATAATGAAAAATTAACATCTGTATATCTCGATCTTGGATTTCAGACATGCATCTATATACGGTTCTTCTTACGGCCTGTTGGTTGATATGGTTGATTGTATATGTTAATTACCGATAATAACTATGTTAATTAATTCACGTTCATAATTTGAAAATAAATCAAAGCGGCAGTGGTTAACTGCATGTTACACTATACAGGGTGTCGCACGTGGCACTGCACTGCAGCAATCGATTATTCAAAAACTTGACGCAAGATGATTATGAAAATTTTATTCGGTAGTATAATTCGGCTAAAATATTTTCAAAATGATGGCACTTGCGGTTGTACCGAAGGTAGATACCAACTTGTTCATTTCAAATAGAGCACCTTGAATATTACTCAGTTTCTAGATTCTACGCGAGGTTCAAGTGCGTTTCACGTATAATATACCTAAGTCTATCGGTTTTTGAGATATAGCAAGTTTTGCGTGAAAAATGACAAATGCAGGAAAATCAATTTTCTGTCGTATTGTTGACTTTGTCAAATGATTTGTAATGAGTACCTTACAGTAGTAGTTCTACTTTAGTAGACTTCGTTCCGGAATTGAATAACAATGGTACAGAATGGTCAACTAAAAACAATGACATCGTATTAGACATTGAAAATGTTAATTTGCTACTCCGTAAATTAGCAGTATTTAAGAAATAGAAAAACAAACAATTCTATATGTCTCATAAACTGTTAAAGCGGATAGCCTTACAAAAATTTTTATTATATATATATATATACAGGGCTCTGCAACATCAAAAATATCTGAATACCCTCCTGTAGCCGCGACATCCCCGAGTGGTACTAGGACACTAGCTCAACCCGACGACAGAACTGGGTCGGGGTCAGTGTGTCAGGTCAGTATGCAACCTTCAACCGACGGTTACGGTCACGCGTGTAGAGGTAATCGCGTAGACAAGAATCCCTCAACAAGCACTAGAGACGTGGCTAGAGAAGTGCAAGTATCACAAACTAAAGTGTGGCAAACGCTGCGTCAAGAGGGGCTGTATCCGTTTCACGTCCAACGTGTACACGCCCTTCAACCTGACGATTTTCCAGCAAGAGTGCGGTTTTGTGAGTGTTTGTTGCATCAACATTACAATAATCCGGAATTTTTGAAGTGCATATTGGTGACAGACGAATCTACGTTCACGCGTAATGGGGTGAATAACTTTCGCAACACTCATGTTTGGTCAGTAGAAAATCCGCACGCTGTCCGTCAGGCACATTTTCAACAAACATTTTCGGTGAATGTTTGGGCTGGCATGGTGAACGGTATGCTCATTGGACCATTTATTCTCCCAAATCGATTGGACATTTTGCCTTCCTTGTTTGCCTGCGTCTGCTGGGTAGCGCATCAGCTAATTTCATTTTCTGTTGGAGCGGTATGATTTCGGGCAGAGACGTACTTAGCCCTTCTCGTCAACTGGAGAGTGAGTACTTTTTCCTTTATTTTTTTTACTTGGTCGCCCTCGTTTCACTACACATTACCTTTGTTATTTCAAGGGTAGTTGTTTCTGAAAAGGAAAACCCCGACTTTGCGGACACCCTGTATATAACATGAGACGTGGTCATTGTCGTCTAGACCAGTTAGGTGAAAATTAAGGCTTCCGCCTTTTGTTGGGTACTTCGACAAAATTTAAGCAAGGAGGACTCTTTATACTTTTTCAATCTCTCTAGCTTTCAATGGTCTTTGCCATCATCATCAGGAGCTGCAATTACATTGATAAAAGTAGCAACAATTGTGTAAAATGAATTTAAATTAACTTACAGTAGTATGTGAGGATGTTGCTAAATGTTATTTACGTTAAGGATGAGGGAAACACCCAGTAACATGGTGAAAGCTTTATACATGGTACAATGGTCAAAACTATACAAACTACACCCAGCTGTATGACAAGAACAAATTAAAAACAGATTAAAAATATTTAAAACGAAAGTTAAGCATTACATCGTGAAGCCACTTGATGATTGCACAAAATGGTGGGCATAGAATCATGAGTAAGATGAACCTTTTGGGTTCTTTGTCAATCGAGCGTTCGTATCGATCCTACTGAGCATCGTCTCACATTAAAATGCCACCTAAAATTAGCGGTAAAGCTGCCAAAAAAGCGGGCAAGGCGCAGAAGAATATCTCAAAGTCTGACAAGAAAAAGAAGCGCAGGAGGAATGAAAGTTACGCAATTTACATCTACAAAGTACTGAAGCAGGTACATCCCGATACGGGTATATCCAGCAAAGTGATAAGCATCATGAACAGCTTCGTCAACGATATTTTCGAACGTATCGCTGCGGAAGCATCCAGATTGGCACATTACAACAAACGTGCCACGATAACTAACAGAGAAATTCAGACAGCCGTACGCCTATTGCTACCGGGAGAATTGGCCAAGCACGCCGTCAGCGAAGGTACCAAAGCCGTAACCAAGTACACCAGTTCAAAATAACATAGACGTTGTATTTCGCTTCGACTGTTGTACGGTTCGAAAACAAAATATATATATACAGGGTCCGTCAGAAAGAAAGAATGTTTTTCGAACGGGTACTACATCGAGTGGGCTGGTCCCGTGTCGGTGGGGAAGGGCGTGTTGGATAGTGGGACAAGTGCCGTTTCAGTTGGCAAGATGGTTTGGAACGTTGAGCATAGTGTGTTCACTGTACGTCGGTACTTTCAAAATGGCGAGTTCGAACGCAACGTGAGTTTAGCGTTTACTTTCGAGTTCCACGTCATGGGACAGTACCAGACCGTAACACCGCCAGGCCGAAACCCCAAGAACGTAGACAGAGTGAGAGTTGACACGCTGCAAAGACCGAATCGTTCAGTCCCCAGTTCCTTAGGGATCCACGCCTCCTCTGTACGTTGCATCTTGAAGAAGGATTCAGTGTTCCATCCTGTTACAAAATCCAAGTTTGTCAACAACTGTTGTCAGGGGATTATGCACAACGTGTTAATTTTGCACAGCTCATGATTGAACAGTTGGATAACAGTAACATGACGTTGTTTATGAGTGATGAAGCACATTTTCATTTACTTGGATACGTCAATAAACAAAATTGTCGATATTGGTCTCAAGGTGAACCCCCAACAGTTACCCCTGCATACCCCGAAAGTTACAGTCTGGTGTGCAGTAGGCTCAACGATGATTATTGGCCCTTATTTCTTTGAGAATGATGGAGAAACAACTACTTCGTTACATCCACATGCTGAACAACTTTTTTTTCCGGAACTTCGACGTCGACGTCTCCGTCTCAGAACAATGTGTTTCTAACAAGACGGGGCAACATCTCATACAGCTAGCACATGGAACTTCTTCGGCAAAAATTCCCAGGACGTCTCATTTCACGTCATGGCGATATTCCATGACCCTCTCGCTCCCCGGACCTGTCAACGTGTGATTTTTTTTATGGGGCTACCTGAAATCAAAAGTTTACCAAAGCAAGCCTCGGGCCCTCGTCGGTTTGAAGGAGGAAATAAGGAGAGAAGTAACCCAAATTCCTACACGGATGCTGGCCGACGCGATGGGCTCATTTCGGGAGAGACTTGATTCCTGCATTTCGACTCAAGGGCGCCATATGGCCGACATAGTTTTTAGAGCGTATATTTTGTTTTACTCAAAAAAATGGCATGTATTTCTGAGTATTTTAATATAATAAAATATTTTTTCCACACTCATTTTGACTGTACCACGCATTTAAAAAACATGCGTTATTTCTGACTGACCCTATATATATGTCGTATTGTCGTCTAGACCAGTTAGGTGAAAAATAAAGCTTCCGCCTTTAGTTGGGTAATTCGACAAAATTCAAGCAATGTGAACTCTTTATACTTTATAAGTCCCTAACTTCCTATGGACTTTACCATCATCATCAGGAGCTGTAATAACAAATAGCAGCTATTGTGCAAAATGATTTTAAATTATTTACAATAGTATGTGAGATTGTTGCTAAATGTTATTAAAGGTTAAGTTGAGGGAAACATTTAGTAACCTGGTGAATGCTGGATACACGGTACATTCGTTAAAGTTGGTATAAAATAGACACAGCTGTATGTCTGGAACACAACAAAACGGATTAAAAAATATTTGGAACGAAAGTTAAAATTATTACATGTTACATGGTGAAACAACCTGATGCTGCACAAAATGGTGTGGCACAGGATCATAAGTAGGATGAAACATTTGACAGATGACAGAAGGCTGGGTAGTGTCAGTGTCGATGAATGGAACGAAAGTTTCTAAAAATGTTGCCAAATCACTTCAGATGGTGTGATTTATCAAGATATGTTAAGTAACATATACAGGGTGACTTCGAAGTTGAATCATTTATTTTACACGTGAGTAGATCTGATCAAAAGAAATGTTTTTTTCCTTTAACATTTTTCTGGTAAAATTAAAGTAACAAAGTTATAGCCCTTTAGAAGTTTGAGTACCGCCCTGTCTCAATAATAATATTATGTGCTTGTGTTTGGCAACAACGGATATAATCCGCGTTATCGGTTCATCGCATCGGAAACAAAAAAGCGAAAGAATTTGAAACGTTTATCACGATGTTTTCAGTCGGTAACGCGTGAGTGAATAGTGGTGTTTGTTGCGTGGCTCAAATGAAATAAAAAATGGCACATGTTTACGAAAATGCTGAACTTGTGGACATGATTCTTATTTACAAAATGCTGCCGCGGCATCACGGATTTGTGCGAATCGGTTTCCCAATCGAGTGCAACCAACCCCTCGTGCCTTTGTTAATATAGTACAGAGGGCTCGTGAATCAGGAGACTTAAGACCTTACAGGGGAGGCCTGCCGCTGCTCCAAGACCGCACGATCAAATACAGGTCCGCACTGAAATACTTGTCGGAAGGATACTTTGTAAAACAAGGTAACATTTTTTTTTAATGCTTTTTATTTTTACACACATATTTTGGTTTATCTTCCTTCTACAATCATTATCTGAAAATTAATGACTCAACTTCAAAGTCACCCTGTATATGGTACATATGGTAAATGAAAAAGTACGAGAGAAAACATTATTATAATTCCTGTTTTTATCATTTTTTGTCATTTTTTACGCAAAATTTGAGGTATCTCAAATACGGATGGACTTATGCAGAGGATGATATGCACGAAACTTATTTAAAATCTCAAGTAGAATCCAATAATAAAACATTATGCAGGGCGTTCTATTTAAAATAAGCAAGTTAGTAACTATTTCCAATACAACAGGAGGTCCCACTATTTTGAAATTATTTTAGACGAATTGCTACCATCAGTTTCACTATAAAACCAAATTTTCATACTGTAATATAATCTAAGAGTATCTCTCATAGTTCTAGTTGATCTTTTAGGTCACTATTATAAAACTGGATTTTCTGGAGAGCATCGACAATGTTTAAGGTCTGATGCATTTTTCAACAAGATAACACCTACACCAATTTCAACGTTGTCAATAATTACGTCCTTAAAGAGTCGGTAAGTAGGACCTCATGTTCAATGTGTGCTCACATATTCTAGAATACCTTCGAATTTGACCACACTATTTTATCAAGAAAACCGACAAAGAAGCTTATAACTATGACCAACGACTAGCAAGAAATGTTCATGTATAAAACGTATTAATGTAAAAATGTAAAAAGAATCATGAGGTGCTTTTTGTTTGGAGATACACGCATCCTCTCCTCCATTTCGTGCTGGTTAGGGAAACCTGTCGGCAAAATATACAGACAATGAGAAGTAAAGTCACTGAAGAATTTCCATTTCTAAATGGAACTGGTTAACATTGTTTATCGACTTAATGTGGCTTGGTAAATTATTAAAGAGAAGACCGATTTTACTAGGTGATCGAAATGCTGCTTTAGATCTGCTAAGCTTTACATATAAAGTCACTAGTCATTGTATCATAATTATGCATATCACAATTTCGTTCAAGCGTATCTTTATTTTTAAAGGCATGTTAGCACAATTCATTTATATACTACGAAGGGATAGTTATAATGTTAGAATCTATAAAATTATTTGTTGCAACTTTCTGTTGTACAAATACGTCTTCAGAGCGCGGTGACCCACCCCAGAATCCTACCCCATAACTTAATCTCATTTCTACATCAGCAAAGTAAATTTGCAGCAGTTGTTCAGTTATTAGGATGGTTTCCAATTGCCTCAAAATATAGCTTTGAAAGTTTATTTGTAATATAAGGGATTCTACTGTGAATCCTTCCAATTTAGGTTCGAATTTAATATGTAGTCCTAGAAATTCTGTTTCTCCTCTAAAACCGACTTGATATTGAGCTATCTCATTCGAAGTAGAGCATTTTTATTTCGCCCATTGGCGACCACAGAGTGACTCTACTATACCTAGTTTGTATACTTTGCCAGTCGTACAGTCGCCGAGTGGCCAGCATCGTAATTAAGAAAGTCACACTGTCTCATTATCGATCCTCCTTATTACTTCTCCCTCTGCTTACTTTTATGATCGTATTTTATGTTATTACTGCTTTTTATATGTGTATCCTTAACGGGACATTCTCTTTTTTATTCAAATGAGGATTTTGATATGGAAGCAGAAAGTCCTACAGCGGCAATCGGCAGAACAGAGTCATTGGACCGTTGGGATTTTTTACAGAACGAGGAAGGATCAAATTGGCTTGGGGGTAATGATTGGTCCTGTTCTTGAAAACATAATGTTATTGATGTAATTATTAACTCTTTGTTGACTAGGAATCCCTCGAAAAGTCATCGCCGAACATGTAAACGTAGTTAATTCGCGGATTTAGTATTAGTATTTAACCGACACAAATTCGGCAGACCAATACCTACCAAAGTTGTATCAACATGATAATAGTATTTACTGGTAAAAAGATTTACCTTCATTAAGATTCTGCCGCTCTTTGCATATTGTGTAAGAAGTGCCATGTCTAGAAGCACAATTATTATCTGCAAACACTCGCACTTCTAAAAAATAACACTAAATATACGAATTTAATGACAGAACACTTTAAGCGACTCGGTTTGTAATAGCTGTCAAATGATGACGTCGCATACTGGTCCTTTGTGACGCCACCGTTTATGACAGTTGAGACCAATAATAACCATGCGCAGGAGGTAGATTATATGCGGTTCTTGTATGCCAAACGTCCATCCACAAATATAATTTAACCCTTTCCTATTCTTTTATGCCTTTCGTGTTTGTTTTGGTCGTCAGTGACATAATTTTCAGTTAAAGAAACTATACTAAGTGACATATAAATCCGAACACCCAGTTTAAATGGTTTTATTTTAATAAAATTCTGTATAAGTACTTAATGAAGCATAATAAGTAAATGATGAAAATTTCAAAATGATTGCAATGCTTTGAAGCCCTTTGACCTTTAATAATGTGTGGATGCACCCTGATGTGCTACGCATTCTCCAACGCGCCTAGGCATGCTTCTGATCAGGTGGTCAATGTCCTCCTGTG